ATCCAAGAACTGTTCTATTTTCCTTGATTAATTAAGTAGAATTGAACCATTGTGGGGGGGGGGTGTTGAGGGGAGGGAAGCAGGCTAAAAGTAGGCTCAGTAGTACAATTTTTAGATAGTTAAAATATTAAACTAAAACAACAATAAAAATATTTTATCTGTTAAAATTAAGATCTCAAATTTTAAAATACTGTACCTAATAATCTCTTGGCTTAAATATATGTACAAGCATGATAGCTAAGCAGTAAATGTATCATGCTTATGTAGAATATCCTTGTCTCAGGGAAACTTAATAAAGCAAAATAATACATATTTTTAGACTTCTATTCTGTTTTGCTGTATAGTCTAAAAGAAATGATACAGTTTGCAAGATGAACTCAAAGCTCACTATGAAAGTTTGCAAATTCTAATTACAACCCTGACCCCTGACGCTTGGGACACATCTCTATAAATGACTGGGGATTCATCATTCTCTATTAAATTCATTTTTTCTTGATAACTAAATCATTACTATTTACATAGTCTATTGAACAATTAAGTAATATAAGACTAAGTATGACAGCAATTTATTATTAACATTAATATTATGTTGGTAGAGGTAATGCATTCTCATTTTTTTCCTCATTAGGCCCTTTTGTTTCTCTCTCACTCTTTAAACTCTACTCTGACAACTCAGTTGAATTAAAGGAAGGGAAGAGAATGTGTTCAAAGGATACTTGAACAAAGTCTTTTCCTGTTTATGTTTATGCCTCAAAGGCATTTAGAACAGGCATTGGCTAATTTGCAGAATTTGCAGTAACTTAATTCAAATATCTTATGGATCCTAAGGGTGGGCTCAAAAAAGGCTATAAATGGCAATAAGCAGTAAAACGAGCTCTGTAGTTTACTGTTGGTAGAGTGTTTCGGTAAAAAGTCTCCTCTTCCTGTGAATGTTCTGATGTAAAAGGTTACAGACCACAGTGAAACTGTAGAGGTCAGTGAAGTTAGGGACAGTGAGTTCTGCCAGTGATTTCCTGTGTGGTCTCCAGGAAAGATATTTACACTCTCAGGGTTTCCACCTTTCCATGTATGGAAGAGAAATAATAACACTTAAATATTTCTTAGTGCATTACTGTAATTAATTCTTCTGAAATGCTTTGAAATAAGCATCAAAGAGATTCATTTTTGTGCTTCAGCTTTGATTTTATTTGTCTGTGAGGGAGAATACAGTTTGCATGGAAGGAAAAAATTCTTGATAATAAAAATGGTAAAATTTTATTCATTATATTAAGTTCATTCTACATGATTTCATTAAGATGATTACAGAAACTGGAAAGTTCTTTTCTGATCCATGTGAATGTCCACAGAGATGGGGTCCTCCCTCCTGGAAGTAACAACTACCCCAAACTAAGCTTTTGGGCATTACAAACACAAGATTATATAATGATGTGTCTTTTGGAAGTTTTCAGGTTAAAGGACTTTTCTGCTACCATCGAGGGTTAACAACATTATTCAGTTGACTAAAATGGGTTTGTCAGTTAAGATATTTTCAATACAGAGTAACAACAATGACAAACAAACAAAAAAAACCCATACTGGCTACAAGAGTGGAGGACATGGATTTTCTTTTTCAATGGCAAAGATCAGACATCATAGGTAGTAGTAATCACTTTTCACTAGGTTATGCTATAGAAAGAATTCCAAAATCTCAGTAGTTTGTAGTAAATGTTTCTCTGAAGGAAGCTAGTGCTCTACAAAGTTCTACTTTACCTTCATAAGCAGGCCGAAGGAGCAGCCCCCACCTAGGATATCTCATAGAATAATTCAAAGAAATGGTGGAACTATCTATTGGCTTCTAAAACTTCTTCTAATAAATCACATGCTCTTTTCAGCTCATAGAGAAGGTTGCATGGTAATGACTGATGTTAAGGCAGTGGTAAGTATAGTTCTTAGAAGGATATTCAATGAATATTCTGAAATACTAATGCTACCTGCCACTTGGAATACAGGTCAGATACAGTTTAATCAGGGGCCAACTCCATTTCCCTGAGTCACTACCCTCCCTCATTTACTACCTCATGGTAGTAAACTGATGATCACTCTATGTCTCATGTCCAGAAACTATACATCAAAACAAGAGAATGTCTCCTTTTCTAACCATCATAAAAAAGGTTGGGGTTTCATTTTCATTGGGCCCACTTGAGTCAGATGCTCAACCCAGAAGACATCACTGTGGCCAGGAAAAGTCAAATATTGTCTGAGACCTAGGGTCATGATGAGCCATTGACTAACCCCAACCCTTAGACTAACAGACTGCTCCCTGTATCAGAGTTTAATGTTGATCCTATTCAAACCACACTGTGGCAGGGGCAGAACAAACGCAAGGAGCCAACCCTAGATCTACAGATCCCAATCCATCTGTTTACTGGTTAACTTTCCTGTCACTGCCTCACGAACTTCCATTGCCCTTTCTGCCCTTGAATTCTGTGATATGACCCCATATATGGTACTATTGTAACACCTTAAGTTTAATTTAGTTTGGAAAGGATTTCTATTGCTTGCATCTCAAAATGTCTTACATGGTAAAAAAAAAAAAAAAAAAATTCACAAAAAGTTGTTACATAAAAGAGGATTCAATAAAACTTTTAAAAAAATTAACTTTGGTTTTGAATCCAAATCTTTCACTTCCTAACTATGAGACTTTAAGTAAGTTATTAAATTTGCTAGGCATATTTTCCTATCTTTTAAAAGAGAATAATAGATGTATAAGTCTTTGGGCAAAAATTCAGTGAACTCAGGTACATGTGTAAAGGTCTTGCCTAGTGTAGAGTAATGACTAATTAATGTGAGTTGTTTTATGAAGTGTTATAAGAATTTAGAGATGGTAGAGAGCACAGCTTGAAGGATTAGAAAATCTTTGTGGGGCTTGTGGCATTTAAGCTTGATTTTAACATCTGTAAAGAATTTCCCCATGAGGAATCTTGAGAAGATAATTGATAAGCATCCAAGGCCCACTGACTTGTGTCCAGCAAAGGTGCAGAGGCAGGATATACGAAGTGTGCTCAGAAAATAGGAAATAGGCAAGTAAAGTTCTCATTCAAAACTCACTCCTTATTTCACCTCTGTTTCCATCTGCAAACCTGAAACAGTCCTTTTGCCCATTTCAGCCAGGTTTTTACACCTGTGATCAGGTTAAGCTCCAGCATTCTCCTCCAGTGGCATTTCCTGTCTCTGTGCTCACACTATTCATAAATGATTGCTTATTCAAGCAGGGTATTTTCAATATTTTTACACACACTTTCATGCTGTTATTCATCTTACTTTTACATGAACATTTCATAATTTCTAACATACTCCAGGCATAAATAAATATATACCTTTATTTAAATTGTGCATAATTATACTTTCTGCTGACCTTGGTGTGTGTGTGTGGGGGGGGGAGGACTTTCCAAATGGAAGTAATTTTATCCCAAAATGAGCAATTAATAATGTATATTATGTATATTACACAGAATAGTCCTCATTTAGAGAATGACACAAAATTCATTTTTTTCTAATTAAATTGTGCTTTGTTCAAAAGTGTGTGCATTATTTATTGCTGGGCCTGATTTCAAGAAGGAAAAATTTAAATACTCTTAGTAATGCAGAACTAGTTTTGGTTTTCTTTACTTGGTTCTGTCCTTATGTTTAACATGAGCTGAAAACATTAGGGAGCTACCTAATTCCACAGACTCCTTCATCATCAAAATATCAAATTCAATGCTTCTGAACTCCCTAATATAGAATATGTCATTTCAGTTGCCTGTTCTCAGAGTCTCCTTTTTTTCTGACCTTTGTAATAAATTTTTTATTTTTCTGTTTGAAATATTGAAATACTTTTCTCATGGCTTGCTAGTGATCTGAAAGGCTTTGAATAGTGAATAAAATATGTTGAGCTTCTAATGAGAAAAACTGGTAACAATTTTTGAAAATAGGCATGATAATGACACATAAAAATAAGGGGAAATAGAGGCAAAACAAACGAAAGAGGTAAATTACTTTGATTCAAAATATTGCATCTGACATTCTTAAGTTGGATTTTTTTGTCACCATTCTTAGTTTATGTGTTTGTGTGCTTATTGGCACATTTTAACCACCATTAAGCATCATTTTATTACAGTTGCTATGTCAGTCAGTGGAGAACAAAGAGAATTTCCAGTCCAATTCTAGTAAAACTGAGAGCAGGACTTTGAAAGGCAGTCCCCAGAGAGAGGGGTATACTTAAGTCTCATCTTTACATAGGTGAATACTTCAGACATTCTTATGCCCTGATAAAAAAACATTCTTGGAGTTATTTTATGCCAAGGAATATCCATTTTTTGTCCTCAGAGTATGACAATTTTGAATAAAAAGCAAAGATTTTTAATCAGACTACTTAGTTACACTATACCAATCTGATATAAAATAATGTCCAGAAATCATTTAAATCCAAATAAACAAGAAGTTCAGGCCACCTGCCCAGTCTTGGAAAATTCTGTTTTGCATTGCAATGACCTCAAGGTTAATTGGTTTTAATCTCAGTTTGGATCCCATCACTAGGAATCACCAAAAACAAAATATCAAAATAAATGGATGTAAAGAAAACTTTTAGTACTGGGCACACTGAATGATCTTTGACTATATAAAGAAATGGAAAACCACAGATTTATGGCATTTTACTTGTTTAGCTTAAGACTGGAATGGGAGAGGGTGATAGCAATGTTTGGTTCCAAATATAAATTTCAATCCCCTTCCAAGAAATAGCTGAAAAAATAAGTAGTCATATACAATGTTAACTTATATTTGTACTTAGCAAACTAAAAGTAATTAAAATATCTACAGGAATCCCAAAATGATATGGTCTTAGGAGAAAAATATTTTTTAATAAAACGTTGTAAAAATCACTACAAGAAAAAAATTAAAAAATAAAATCACTAAAAGAACTCAAAGGTTTATGTATAAAAAAACATTTTCTTGTCTTAGAGTCCTTTGTTCCTCCACAGAATATTATCGTTATTGTTGCTGCTCCACACTACAAATGGCTGAGAATACACAGAATCCTCCCCGCCAGGCAGTTTTTCACCTCACCCGGAGCTCTTCTGAACTCCTTTGAAGACAAAATGGGGTACCAGGTAAACAATTGCTCTGTGAATAGTCATGCGCTAGGCATGTGTCACTTGTTTTGCTTCATGGTAGGTCACTGCTAGGTATTTCCTGAAAGCCATCTTGAAGCAAGTTCTATTTATACTGTGATTTTGCCTCCAGACAGCTCTTGTGATGATTTTAAGAATTTCAGTTTTACAGTCAAGTAAATATCCCCTTAAGCATATAATTATTTTAGTAGTCAGTTTGTACTTGTTTGCATATTTTTTTTTCCTTATTGAATTGGTCAGTTTTGCAAATGCTGCCCTAGATATAGATACACTATAGTTTTGAATATAGGTAAAAGTCAATTCTTTGGTTGGATGTCCAGAAAACTTATTGTGGATGTCTAACACTTAATTGTCAGCAGCACTGAAAACTCATTTCGTGGGGGAAACTCCCATTTTAGCAACCTCTCCACTCCTGTTTTGTGAGGAGTTGCTTAGAAGAATCATTTCTTGGACATCTTATGGTGCATGTTTTTCCCTTTCAACAGGTTACCTTTTTCCCTGGAACTCATCCAAGCTCTTTCCTACCCACTCACAGTAATACTATGCATCCCCCTCCACCCCACTGTCTGGCATTTCACTACTCAGAGAAAGCTTAATGCCATCTGCAAACTGGGAAATTCAATTTAGAGAAGCTGAGAAAATGTGAAATATAATTGATCTTAGCATATTTCCAGTAGAACCCAGCTCTTAACCATTTTATATCTATTTGAATAAATGCTGTGGAAAACTGAATTAATACAGCTCTTGTGTTTACTTGTTTTTTTTACATTACAGCATCAAGCTTTATGCATTTTGAATTGCTTAGTTTTTCAAAATAATTTCAGTATATTTAATTCTTTTATTCCATATGTTAAAGACTTATTATGAGCTAGGATCAACGTTAAATGTTCTATTTTAACCCTACAACAACCACGGAGGTAACTATTAACTATATTCTACTATATTAACTAGGTAGCTATTTAACTATATTTTACTATTGAGGAAGTAGCTTAGAAATACTCTTGTTTCTTCCCCTGGTACACAAAGCTAATAAAAGAGATACAGCAGCAATATAAATCAGTTTCCTGAGTACTTATCAATTACAAATTAGCATGACTGTAAGTACATTTTGAAATCAGTTCATCTAAAGTAGTCTTTTCAAATATTTTAGCGGTGAAATGTTTTTTTTTTAAAAATAAATCTAATGCAAAGGAGACTGACTGCATTTTATCATGTAATATTTATTCTTATTTTGACAATAATAATGCATATACATTGTAAACATTCAAATAGCAGGGAAACACATAACATAGAAACCAGTGAAGATTCTCTTTGACAACCATAAAACTTTCTGATAGTAATTTAGGTGATTGCTGAGGTCCGATCAGCCTTGACATTCAATTTATTTTTGAAATTTACTCGGTTGTTTAGGAATAGAACATCTTGACACTTACAGACCAGCAGGAGGGTATGACCTTGTGTGTGTGTGGGTGTGTGTGTGCGCACGCGCATGTGTGTGTATACAGGCATACATATCAGTCACAAAAACAAAAAATCAGCACCACTATAGCCATCTTAATCAAGGACACATGTCTACAAGTTCAAATATAGTCCCCGTGATGATAAGAAAGCTTTTATGTTAGGCATGCACAAAAATGAACTCACCCGGCAGCAAAAGTCAGTGTGCTGGTGGTCTGCAATGTGTTGAAATTTAGTATATGACACATTTAATGTGTGTCTTAACAATTTATTACACTCAAAATGTTAAATTGGAATCAAATGTCAATAAACCTTCCAAGACACCTTTAAGAACTGAGGTTCAATAGAAAACAGTGTGAAAATCACCTCTCAAAACAGCACATCCACAACTAACCCCCTTTATTTAAGAACTATAATCCTTTTGAAACTCTGCCGAAGCTGTAGATCTTCACATCAGATAGCTGGCAAGCATCAGGGAGTTAAATACACAAAAACACAGTCTCACACTCACACTTCTCTAAACAATCTGCAGCCAATACACACCCTAAAGAATGTCTATGTGACACACATCAAAAATATTTTGATGCTGGCATTGTAGAGAAATAATGGAAATTCCTAAGCCAATGGGCTCATAATGGTTCATACCAAAGGTAAAATTATCATTTGGGACAAACAATTTGTATGAAAAAAAAAAGAATATGGTTAAAACTGGAAGTAAATAACACGTAACACTTGTGGTAAGGTTATAGTTGGTGTTCAACATTTTAATCATTGGTTATGGTACCTAAGGATGTCAATCTTACAACTTTTCCTTGAATATATTTTCTTAGTGGAAGAGAATGCTCAATATTACCTTTAACCTTCATCCACATGCAAATTAGTTATTTTAAGGGGGGTCCAATCATGAAAATCATAAACTTAGATTCAGTGGCAAGAAGATTTTCCTATAAATTTGATTGTTTGTTTTATTCTTCATGTGGCTTGAATTCAAAACTATGACTAAGCCCTTGAACTAAGCCTCTAAGTTGTTTTGCCATTTGATTAAGTAAGTTCTGGCTAAGAAGCTACATTTGTGCAGATGATAGAAGAGGCATGCTAAAATATAAAAGAGAGACCAATTTCTTCATATTTTTTAATATTGGCCTTAGAGCAGTTGAGAGATTTAATTATCTTCTCTTGAATCCTGTTGTGTGTGTGTTTTTTTCTTGTTAGACTTAGCTCAGCTTTCATTATAAATTTCTATGACTGCACAAGATAAACTGAAAAACTAAAAAACACCAGGCACATAAGGAACTAATTTAACATCGGTCCCAGTTAAGAGTGAAGGAAGGTCTTGGTTCTGTGCCACATACAAAATTGAGGGGCAGCAACACAAAATTGCTTTTGTACTATTTAATACACCATCTAAAATAGTCCCTTCCAGGGGTGGTTTTCAACGTGGGTCCTCTGGCTCCATAAAAGTCCTCCACAGCGATCTGTATAACAATACCCAATACAAGTAACAAAGGGAAAAAATGGGTGAAAAGAGGACTCTCACTATAGAAAAAGTAACATTAAAAAAAATAATAAACATTTTAAAACACCATAATGAGGTTTTCTTTTTTCTGTCTTTTTTTTTTTTTAGCATTATTAAGTTATCTGGGTAGGAGGTCTGTAGATTCTTTACTGTTTAAATGTAGTCTATAAAACAAAAGATTTGGGGTAAATGCTAATAGTTTTATTTACACAGCTCATTTTGCATGTCAAAAGGTTTAATAACAATGGAAGAGGGAAATATAGATCCATAAACACTTAGATAAAATTTTCAATTTCAGATTGTTTCTGAATTGAGAATTTTTCATATTTTGATGACACAATAATAATAAGACATGTGACAGATATCATGTCAATCACTAGGAGTCTTATCTGGGTTAATGCCCAGTAATTAAACATGCTAGCATCTATACAGAAAAATGTATGAACTTTCCTGTTAAATAGAATAAGATCATAAATAACTTCATTTCCATCATTCCAGGGCAAGTCTTGACAGCAAATCTGTTTTTCAGTGTTATCTGTATTTTAGAATTGTAGTTAAGGGATTATGCACCTCTATTGCCTAATAGAGTTAGAACTGGACATGAAACAGCAGACTGGTTCCAAAATGGGAAAGGAGTACTTCAAGGCTGTATATTGTCACCCTGCTTATTTAACTTATATGCAGAGTACATCATGAGAAATGCTGGACTGGATGAAGCACAAGCTGGAATCAAGATTTCTGGGAGAAATATCAATAACCTCAGATATGCAGATGACACCATCCTTATGGCAGAAAGCAAAGAAGAACTAAAGAGCCTCTTGATGAAAGTGAAAGAGGAGAGTGAAAGAGTTGGCTTAAAGCTCAACATTCAGAAAACTAAGATCATGGCATCTGGTCCCATCACTTCATGGCAAATAGATGGGGAAATAATGGAAACAGTGAGAGACTTTATTTTGAGGGGTTCCAAAATCACTGCAGATGGTGACTGCAGCCATGAAATTAAAAGATGCTTACGCCTTGGAAGAAAAGTTATGACCAGCTTAGACAGCATATTAAAAAGCAGAGATATTAATTTGCCAACAAAAGTCCATCTAGTCAAAGCTATTACTTTCCCAGTAGTCATGTAAGGATGTGAGAGTTGGACCACAAAGAAAGCTGAGCACCAAAGAATAGATGCTTTTGAACTGTGGTGTTGGAGAAGACTCTTGAGAGTCCCTTGGACTGCAAGGAGATCCAACCTGTCAATCCTAAAAGAAATCAGTCCTGAATATTCATTGGAAGGACTGATGCTGAGGCTGGAACTCCAATACTTTGGCCACCTCATGGGAAGAACTGACTCTTCAGAAAAGACCCTGATGCTGGGAAAGATTAAAGGTGGGAGGAAAAAGAGATGACAGAGGATGAGATGGTTGGATGGCATCACTGACTCGATGGACATGAGTTTGAGTAAGCTCCGGGAGTTGGTACTGGACAGGAAAGCCTGGTGTACTGCAGTCCATGGGGTCACAGAGTCGGACGTGACTGAGCAACTGAAATGGGCTGAACTCATTGCCTAATAACACTAAGATGGCACAACAGTTCATGCTCCCACCAGCATTTATAGATGATTTCTTGGCAGGTCTAAATCATCTTTACATGTCCAGCATGACATCTAACTCATAGTGAGTATTAATTTTTTAATTGAATTATTTAAGCAAAAGACCACCTTCAAGAAGTAGAGATAAATAACAGTCTCTGGACAATGTTCAGTGAGCAGTCATTTGGAAATAAATTGAAAAAATAAAAATATGAGGTTTTCTCACATGCTGTAATTTGGTTTCAGTTTAGGTAGAAGGCTAAAATTAAGCAAGATCTGCATTTCCCAAGGCATTGGGACCTCCAAATATTTAAATACTTAAATGACCAAGCTCTCTGCAATGAGTTATAGGTTAATCACAGAGTTAGTCCAATTTAGGAGTTTAAAAAGCCAAAAAGAAAACGTTTTCCATACCTTTACAGTGACCGTGCTGGGAGCTTAGTGAGAGTTCAGGATATAGGATTCTTCTAACAGAGAACTTTGCAAAGTTTCACCATAAATATAAACCTCATCAGCTGAAATCTGATTATAATTTTTCCTAAAGAATATAATAGTGTTTTTCCTATCCCACATCATCATTAAACAACAGCAACCCTTTCTAATTAGCTTTGAAAGGTATTTATCCAAACAGCATCAGATCTGAACCATGCCAAAAGTTATCAAAATATATAATACAGTTCCACCCAGAAAAAGTAATTCTTGGAACACATCTCAGATAGGAGGTCTTTCTTGGTCCAACACAAAACAGTTTAGCCATCTAGAGCATTCACCAGTTACTTGTGAAAACAATTATGTTGTCCTGCTCTTTGACTGACTCCAAAGATGCCCCTCTTGTTGGTCCTCGGCTATCAGCACTGCTCAAACCCAAGAGCTGCCAGAATTATTCCTTTAAAAAGTGGGTATTTCCTTTAGAAATGCATTTATCATCAGTTCTGGATCTAGAAAATGCTTCATGAATTTCCTCCAAATATCAAAACTCTTATATTTTAGAAATTATAAATATTTGGGAGAGAAATTGTCAATTCAGAGATTTGCATTTTAGTTTGTCTCCTACTGTTTACAGCTCCTTCCAAGCCACCTTTCACTCTACTGTAGTAACATGTCTAAGCTCTTCATCTGTTTAATCAT